GAGGAGGAGGGCGAGGAGGAGGGCGAGGAGGAGCCGGAGGACGGCATGGAGGACTCAGAGGACGAGGACGAGGACGACACCGCCGTGAGCATGCAGGCATGCGGCGAGGCTCCGGCAATGCCCCCGAAGGGCTACGTCTATGGGGGGGGGGCGCCTCTGGCCGCACGCCGGTGAGCGCGATGGCGGTCGCATTCTTCTGGTGCACGAGGGCGCCGATCCGCGCCTTGGAGGGGATGATGCAGTACGGGATGTCCATCTTGCGGCAGACGGCCGGCAGCCAGATGACCAGCTGAAGGGGGAGCAGGAGGGGCACCGGGGGTTAGGCTCTGTGCAACTAACCCCCGCAGGTCGGCGTCTGCCAAAGCCGCGCCTCGATCGGGTCCACGTCGGCGGCAATCACGACCAGCTGCGCCTTCTTCTGCTCGCAGAGCTTGGTGATGTGGTGGATGCCGCACTTGATGAAGAGCGGCTTCTTCGACTCGTCCGCCTCCCCCTTCTCCACCTTCTCGGCCGACGCCTGCAGCCGCTCCTTCTTCTCCGCCTTGGACTCGGGCCGGTACTTGTGCAGCAGCTTGAAGAGGTTGGTCTGGACGTTCTTGTCGAGCTTGTTGGTGAACTGGTTGATCGACGGCGGCACCTTGAGCCGCTGGTACAGCACCTTGCGCTGCCGCTGGATCCGCACGTACTTTGGCCACCGCACGTACCGCGTGAGGTTGCGCTTGGGAAGAATGTCCTGCCCGATGCCGAAGTGCTTCGGCTTGGCCTCCCAGACGGGGCCGGTGGGCTCCGGCTTCTTGGACTTGGGCTCGGCGTACGGCGTCGGCGGCGGCGCCTTCTTGGACTTCGCTGCCTTGGGCATGACTGCTCGTCTAGCACACGCGCCGGCACGCGCCACACCAGTGTTTTTTTTTCAGCAGTGTTGCTTGCAAGGTGAAGGAGAGTGACGGCGCGGCGCGCTGGGGCGCGCGCGGCCGCGGGGGCTGCCGCAGCCGTGTGTCCCCTGGGTGGGCGTGGGGGTGGGGGGGAGTCGAGAGGGGGAGGGCGTCTGAACCACAGCGTGTCCCGACTCGACCGCCGGCGTCCCGGTGGTCCGGGGGTGTTTCTCTTCTTATCCGTTACCATGTAGAGCAAGGTCGAGGGCGGGCCCTTTCGGGCTCGGGCCGCCCTCTCGCCCGCACCTCTGCGGGGCTTGCACGTGGCAGCGGCGGCTCAAGATCCCAGCGATCTCGAGTTCTTCACGCTATCCACTGCGCCGCGGCTTCGCCGCGCCCATCCAAGCCCAGGGCTTGGTTTGCTGATAACCGCATCTCGCTCTGCGCATCTCTGAGGCTACCCGCGCGCCGACTGCTACGCGCGCGGCGAGAGGCGCACCCCATCGGGGACAGGATTGAGGCCCCTGTACAAGCTCGGCAACGCTGCCGTCGTTGCCCTCCCGAGCCCTCAACACGATGCCGCACATTGCGCAACCCGTTCTGCGCACATGCCGCAGGGAGGAGTTTTCACTCTGCCGTCCGAGTTTCTCCTTCCTGCAGGGCGAGAGACATCAGCCTCTCTACTTCCAGGAGAACATCTACGCCACACGCTATCCCGACGGTCCACAACCCACACTCTCGCTGCAGTCGATCCAGCCCTCGCACTCCCCACTGGAGATCTAGCCGAGGCCCCGGCGGACAGGAT